GGGAGGGAGGGAGGAGATGGCGCAGCCACCTATAACACATGACAAAGTTCCTATGATAGCTCATTGAGTGCATGTCCTGTGAAGCTAAAATCATAGAACACCAATTTTTATTTCCATCTTATTTATTTTACTAATTTGTGGCCCAAAGCCCCCAAAACACAGCAATGCAATATGCAGTAAAAATAAACAACAAAGGGAAATTGGTTACTTTTAATTGTTTCTGATTATCATCTTCAAACAACTTCATAATGGCAATACCAATTAAACAGAACTTTGCTACATTCCTCCACATCTCCACTGAAGAGCCTAAGACTTGTAAATGGGCTTTAATCAGTGCAATAAGTGGCCAGTACAATAGAGGGAACAATGGAGTAAAAGATACATAATGGACTGTATGGCAGCCTCTGAGTAAATACAGAAATATTCCACATAAAAAATATCCCTTCACCAGCATCAAGGGTAGGGCACTGAATCTTGTTAGCATGAGAGTTCTTCTGTGTGCAAAGAAGTAGGTTTATTTAGGTGTCCTTGAGGCAGTAAGGGAAATTTGAGCTCTGCCATTCTGGTTTTCTAAAGTTTATTACCATAATGAATTAGGTTTGTGTGTATGTTCATGGTCAGATAGCATGAACCACACATATGTTATGCATACAGAAACATTGTCAACTACAGAGAGGACTTTGATAAGCCAAAGGTACTGGTGAGAACTAAGCTGAGATTTCTGAATTCCAAGGGTGCAACCTACAATGAATTTTTCTTCTACTTTTGGGAAAAACAGCAACTTCCTGAGATTGAGACATATGGTACAAAGTGTACCTTCACAAAGGACACCATATTCTGTGAAATCTTGCTCTGCAAAGTTTTAATGCAGAGTTGAGAAATGTGGACCTTCCCATATGCAGTGCTGGGGAAATTGAATTTGCTTGGCTATTTTATGCTTCTGGTTTAATTGTGATGGTGTTTTATTGTATTATATCTGTTGCATGTTTCAGAGCTGGCAAGATTTGGAGGTCTATTAGTGCTTGAAATAAATAAACAAGCAAATGAAATGCAATTATAATATAATATAATATAATATAATATAATATAATATAATA